CGTTTTGCATTGGAACAATCTTTACACACCAGAGGGGATCCCTTTTTAGGTTGCTATGCCCAACAGTTCTCACTTTATCTTCAATTCTGATTCCAGGCTATGCTCTGGAAATTGTCTTTTACAGGTATAAGACAGAGAAAGGCTATGCAAAGCTGCTGTGACCAAGAAATTAAAAGATCACTACATAACATGGCTACATAATATCTACCTTTATCTATTTACTTTTTTTTTTTTTTTGGAAATGGAGTCGCACTCTGTCACCCAGGCTGGAGTGTGATGGCGCAATTTCGGCTCACTGCAAACTCCGCCTCCCGGGTTCAAGTGATTCTCCTGCCTTAGCCTCCTGAGTAGCTGGGACCACAGGCGCCCACCACCATGTCTGGCTAATTTCTGTGTTTTTAGTAGAGATGGGGTTTTACCATGTTGGCCAGGCTGGTCTCAAACTCCTGACCTAAGGTGATCAGCCTGCCTTGGCCTCCCAAAGTGCTGGGATTACAGGCGTGAGCCACCGCACCTTGCCATGGAGAGAGTTTCCATAAACAAGACCAAACCCACGTTAACATTGAGAAAGTGCCAAAAACCTCCAGAGAAAGTAATGGAGGAAATGGACCAGATGGGACCTTAGGGAGCTGCATAAAATAAGATGAGAAGTGGCTGCTGACTTGATTAGTCAATGAATGCAACGCCCCTTCGTCCTGATGCCGTTTCGCTATGAGAAAACGCAGGCCACATCTTTGTGGAGAATGCCAGCATCACCTAGGCACTGAAGAACGTCAGTGGCAAGATTTGGGATGAGCATAATAAAAATATCAACCTTTGTCAACCCTGCTGATATGTCCTGCAGAGAAAGCTCAAGTCGGAAAAGGCAAAGCAGATAAAGCTGATGGTGACAAAGCGATGTGATTCCTCCCAGTACAGTCTTGACAGCCAGAGACTCCCCTTTGACCCAGACCTGGTGACCAGTGACTCTAAGATGGCATCGAAACCTAGAAGTGCACGGCTGCCTTTCTGCACGTCCTCCAAGACAATACGCCTGAGGCGGAGTCTGTAGGACAGATGGACACGGGAAAGGGCTGGAACCAGGAGACATGCGTGCAGACAGGAACTTCCTGTCTACCACTTTCCCGGACAAACAAGTCTAGCAACATAATCTCCATCCTGGAATTGTTCCCCAAGTTTTCATGCCTGGATGGCCAGCCATCATCCAGACCAACTCTGTGTGGTATTGAAGCCCTCAAAGTTACTAATTTGCAAGGGAAGTTTCTTTGGATCTAACATGCTGCAAAATCTGCTCCTGCCATTTCTGCAGTAATATTGCTTGATCTACGTCTACGGAGATTGACAGCGTCTCCTAGCTGCTTACCATGACGGGGCCTGCCTCTGCCTGACCACTCTCACCCAGAGAAACCAGCCTGGTGCAGGTACTTCAAAAATGCCTGGAAGGCTAGGTATGGTGGCTCATGCGTGTAATCCCAGCACTCTGGGAGGTCGAGGGGGGTGGAACACCTGACGTCAGGATTTCAAGACCAGCCTGGCCAACATGGTGAAACCCTGTCTCTACTTAAAAAAAATTTTTTTAAACATACAAAAAAAAAAAAAATTAGCCAGCGACGTGGCATGAGCCTGTAATCCCAGCTACTTGGGAGGCTGATGCAGGAGAATCGCTTGAATCTGGGGTGCAGACGTTGCAGTGAGCCAAGATCCCACCACTACACTCTAGCCTGGGTGACAGAGTGAGACTCCATCTCAAAAAAATAAAATTTAAAAAGACCAGCACAATCAACATAGTGAGACTCTGTCTCTATAAAAAAATAAAAGAGAGAGAGTAGTGGTATGTTACGCCAAAAAAAAAAAAAGTAATTAAAAAAAGAAAAAGCAGCTGGACGTGGTGGCTCCTGCCTGTAATCCCAACACTTTGGGAGGCTGAGGAAGGTGGCCTGAGATCAGGAGTTCGAGACAAGCCTGGGCAACACGGCAAAACCCTGTCTCTATTTAAAAAAAAAAAATACAAAAATTAGCTGGGTGCAGTGGCTTACACCTATAATCCCAGCACTTTGGGAGGCTGAGGCGGACAGATCATTTGAGGTCAGGAGTTCGAGACCAGCCTGGCCGACATGGCGAAACCCCGTCTCTACTAAAAATACAAAAATTTGCTGGACGTAGTGGCGGGTGCCTGTAATCCTAGCTACTTGAGAGGCTGAGACAGGAGAATTTGCTTGAACCTGGGAGGTGGAGGTTATGGTGAGCCGAGATTGCACCATTGCACTCTAGCCTGCGCAACAGAGCAAGACTCAGTCTCAAAAAACGAAAACAAAAACAAAAACAACTGTGGTGGCTGGCATCTGTGATCTCAGCCACTCAGGGGGCTGAGGTGAGAGGATCACATGACCCCAGGAAGCAGTGGCTGCAGTGAGCCAAGATTGCACCATTACACTACAGCCTGGGCAACAACAAAGTGAGAAACTGTCTCCAAAAAAAAAAAAAAAAAGAAAGAAAGAAAAAGAAGAAAAGAAGAAGATTCCTTCTCCAATGATAGGGTGGAATGGCACAGGGCGTGTATCTTACTATGAGCCCATGCACTGCCAGATCTCCATCTTGCCGCTGATGGCACGATTAATGCTGCATGCCAGCACTGACTGGTTTGGACCAATTGCTAGATCTCCTTTGTAAATACCCAACATCCTGCTCTTCTTTGAACTGGGTTACCTTGGTGACTGTACCTATGGTGTGTCCTGAAGGCAGTGACCTTTCACCAATGTCCACCCAGGGAACTCGTGAGGAGAATCTGGGTGGTCTGGAGATGGAAGTTTGGAGAGGATTAAGGAGGGTTGCTGCAGAAGGCAAGGGCAGGTGTGAGGCCACTTTAACAAGATGGAGTTCTAACAAGGAATTCGACCCCCAAAGACAGAGAGAGGAAAGTCCTAGGAGTCAGAGGAGACCTGACTTCCCATTCTCACTGACACCTGACACCCAGGGAGCTCTTGCTTTTCTTTTTTCTTTCTTTCGAGATAGGGTCTTGCTTTGTCACTCAGGCTGGAATGCAGTGGTGCAATCTTGGCTCACTGCAACCTCTGCCTCCCGGGTTCAAGCAATTTTCCCGCCTCAGCTTCCTGAGTAGCTAGGATTACAGGCATGCACCAACATGCCTGGCTGCATAGTTGCCCATAGCCTAGGCAACAAAAAAACAAAAAAATAAACCCTGTTTGTCCTTTTATTTCAATGTTTAATTTATGGAAAACTAGAAAATACCCCTTTAAATTTAGTCAGCATGTTCCCACACAGAGTTTTTTTTGCAAGATTAATTTTTACAAACCTTCCACAACTTGTTCAAACCGTGAGCTTATTCTTATCTAATTTAAAAATCACATAACCTTCTAAACTAGGCGAAAAGTTACATTCTCCTGCCTTTTTAAAATCTTTTACCAAAAACATGTTTCACTCTTCTCACACACTTTCCACGTAAAACTATTTTTTCAGTAGTTTCAATCACATGTTATAACAGTAATGAGCAACTTTTACTTTTAGAGGCTTAAATTTCCTTTCACAGTCGTTTCACGACTTTCCCAGACCATCTACAACATGCTTTGACTTTCTGACTTGTCCTTAACATCCCCCTTTTGAACCAACCAGTTACTTTACTTTAGAACAACAATTTACCATACAAGATGCTTTCTTATAGACCAAGGAGTCTAACATATACACAAGTCAGTGGCTCACATGAAAGCTGCCATGGTGCAATGAAGGTGAAGGTCAGCGTGCGATCCAGCGGAGGTGGGATCCTGTGGCCTCTTCATTCCACGGAGGGTGCACCAACTCACCTGCTGCGCTGGGTAGGCGGAGCACAAGCACCTGTGGTTTTTTTTTTAATTAAAAAAAAAATCTCTTTTCTTTATAATTTTTGCATAGATAGAGTGCATGGCTAATTCCACATGTTCCCAGGCCTTATCTAGAATCTAATGCTCCAAAGTAGGTAAACTGAACAATTTTCAAAAGCCTAAGAAGCAGTTGATGACCTTAAAGCATTGAACAAACCTAATATCTGACCTGCCTGATTTAGATTAAATGTCTTCATTTTCCCCAATCATCTTTAAAACTTTTTATTTCCCAAAGATTACTAAAGTTATGTGAACTAAAAGGCATTAGTTTTTATTGTTCTTTCAAAATATTTGATTTAGGTATTTGTTTATTTATTTGAGATTACTGGCTCTAGGGTGGAGTCCTTGGACGAACAGGACCAGGAAAGCATGCCATTTCTAGGGCCCAATATAATAAGTGGGCACAGAAGAAAGGCAAAACAGATCTTCAAAAATTAAGGGTCCCGTTTTTATACCAGATCCCGAATCCCAAAAAGAACAGAGCCTTAGATTTCTGAAGGGGAATCTATTGATTTCAAATTCCTGTGGTTCCATGAGGAAAACAGGTTTTTTTCCAAAATGGCGTCTCTGGTGCCTCCTGTTTTTCCCAAGGAGTCCCAGGCAGTTAGAATTTGAATATACACATTGCCGGGCACGGTAGCTCACACCTGTAATCCCAGCAGTTTGGGAGGCAGAGGCGGGTGGATCAGGTCAGGAGTTCAAGACCAGCCTGGCCAACATGGTGAGACCCTGTCTCTACTAAAAATACAAAAATTAGCTGGGCATGGTGGCGGGTGCCTGTAATCCCAACAACTTGGGAGGCTGAGACAGGAGAATCACTTGAACCCGGAAGGTGGAGGTTGCAGCGAGCCGAGATCGCGCCAATGCACTCCAGCCTGGGTGACAAGAGTGAAACTCCATCAAAAAAAAAAAAAAAAAAAAAAAAATTGAATATATACACACACACATATATATGTGTATATATATTATATTTTTTAATTTATATATTATACATACTTATATATATATATATATTTTTTAATGAAAACCACAATTTCGTTATTGGGTGCCACCCGTTTTTGCTTAGATTCACATGATTTCCTTAGTGCTAGTTTGCAGATACAGAAATGATCTTGCCAGGCTGCACAAAATATGGAATGCTTCATGAATTTGCATGTCATCCTTGTGCAGGGGCCATGCTAATCTTCTCTGTATTGTTCCAATTTTAATATATGTGCCGCTGAAGCGAGCACTACACTTTTATTTTTTATCTTTAATTTAATTTAATTTAATTTAATTATTTTTTTTTTTGAGACAGAGTCTTGCTCTGTCACCCAGGTCAGAGCGCAGTGGCGTAATCTGGGCTCACTGCAAGCTCCGCCTCCTAGGTTCAAGCAATTTTCCTGCCTTCCTGAATAGCTGGGATTACAGGCGTGCGCCAACATGTCCAGCTAATTTTTTTTTTTTTTAAGTAGACAGTTTTGCCATGCTGCCCAGGCTTGTCTTGAATTCCTGACCTGAAGTGAGGCCTGCCTCAGCCTCCCCAAGTGCTGGGATTATAGGCATGAGCCACGACGCCCAGCCAAATATCCACTTTCAATGTACCTGAGTTTTAACTATAGCGTTTGTTTAAAAAAGTCCTTTCAAATCTTTTATTACCCAACCTTGGCTAGGCCAAACAGCCAATATTTCTGTGTTCTATAATGGAGAGGGAAGAGAATCAACACATGGTAAAGGTCACACCAGAAAGTACTCGTTGAGTAAGCCGGGAATGGAACCCTGAACCTGGCCCGCCTTTGTGAAAAGAGAAAGCACGGTCACATGGTTAGGAGGTTAAGCTTCCAAGGACATGATTGACCAGTTTACTGGGCCATCTTGAACAGGGGCTTATGGGGCCCTAGGCACGCATTTTATCCCAAGGTACCCCTCTTTGTGACAGAATACAGAAAGACACAAAGCACACCAGATGTATTATAGCTTAAGACCAGCCAAAGAATTCTTTTTTGTATTAATCAAAGCATTATGGGAGATAAACAGTGATTTTTACCGTTCATTTAACCAGTTTGCACAGAGACAGAGAGGCCAGAGTCTGACTGGTAAGAAATACTTTACCTTTTGCCAGCATGCCAGGCTTCTGGGTTCCCTTTGCCCAGGTGGCTCTAGTGACCCTGCTTGCCACACTATAGTCCTGAGGACCAAGCCTGCCGCATCATAAAAGAAATTCTTTTCTGTTTTATGGAACCTCAGGCAAAAACCTTTTAGTTTTGCAAGTTGTCACCCAAGGGGTTGCATGGGGTAAGCCAATTAACATTTTTCATTCTGGCGCCAAAGCAAAATACGTGACAAAACACAGACTCTGGCCACTCTGCTTAGCACCCAATATTGAACTTGCAAGGCTCAAACTTGCTCCCAGCTGGGCCCTGTCATCTTTAACTCATTTTTAACCAAGGGGGACTTTACTGAGGGGAGGGCCTCTAACCCGATCCCATTCTTTACTCAGGTAAAATGGACCCCATTACTTATCCAAAGTCAGCCAACGGGTGCTGCGGTCTGCTTCCTTTGGATCAGGATAGGAACTAAGCTGAAAGATTAGCAGATTTAACTTTCGGGGGCCCTCATTTTAATTTTTTAATTTGTATTTATTTTTGAGACGGTGTTTTGCTCTTGTTGCATAGGCTGGAGTGCAATGGAGCAACTTCGGCTCACTGCAACCTCAGCCTCCTGGGTTCAAGATTCTTCCGCCTCAGCCTCCCAAATAGCTGGGATTACAGGTGTGTGCCACCACACCTGGCTAATTTTTTGTATTTTTAGTAGAGACAGAGTTTCACCATGTTGACCAGGTTGGTTTCGAACGCCTGACCTCAGGTGATCCATCTGCCTTGGCTTTCCAAAGCGCTGGGATTACATGCGTGAGCCACTGCGCCCAGCCATTTTTATATTTTGAGAGCGTCTCACTCTGTCACCCAGGCTGGAGTACAGTGGTGCAATCTCCACTCACTGCAACCTCCGCCTTCTGGGTTCAAGCAATTCTGGTGCCTCAGCCTCATAAGTAGCTGGGACTACAGGCGCAAGCTACCACGCCCCACTAATTTTTGTCTTTTTAGTAGAAATGGGTTTCACCATGTTGGCCAGGTTGTTTTCCAACTCCTGAGCTCAGGTGATCCACCCACCTCAGCCTCCCAAAGTGCTGGGATTACAGGCGTGAGCTACCACGCTTAGCCAGATTTTGCCATTTCTGTAACTCTTTGCTCCTTCCTGTGCCTAATGTATATGCGGAAGGAGCTCAGTTTTTCAGAATTTAAGGATCCCATTTTTACCTAAAATATTCGCGTTACTCTCAGCTTCCCTTGATTAACCCACCCAGGAATTTTTTTTTACTACCTAAGTGCACAAGAAAAATGAAACAAAGGGGTAGAACATAAACATCCCCGTTAATTTTTAAAAGCCAAATTTTACATCTCCTGCAATATTACCATTTGCTACCAAGTTTCTTTCTGACCCAGTCATAGGTAAGAGGCCTCTACCTGGGTCCAAGCCAGTTAATTACCAGATCAGATCCGTTCCCGGAACCAGTCCAGTTTCTGTCATAGCTTCCAAACCCAGTTTGGATCAGATATTTGCTCAATGAAACTCGGAGAGCTCAAAACACAAATCTGCGGAGCTCTGAAATCCGAGAGGGAACTTACCCACAATCCCCAGCCACTCCGAGAGGTCAATGGACACAAGAGGGTTCCGCAGGCACCTTGCGTGTTCACTCGGCGCTCCTGAAGGTCCCTAGAAGCTCTACTTTGGACTCCGCTTCTGACACCATCTGTTAAAAGAAAAACTTCAGCAGAATTAAATTTAAAGGGGTCCAGGTACAGTGGCTCACACCTGTAATCCCAGCACTTTGGGAGGCTGAGGTGGGCAGATCACTTGAGGTCAGGAGTTCAAGACTAGCCTGGCCAACGTGGTGAAACCCCGTCTCTACTAAAAACAGAAAAAATTAGCCAGGCGTGGTGGTGGGCGCCTGTAATACCAGCTACTAGGAAGGCTGAGACAGGAGAATCACTTGAATCAGGAGGCGGAGGTTGCAGTGAGCAGAGATGGTGCCATTGCACTCCAGCCTGGGGGACAGAGCGAGACTCCGTCTCAAAAAAATAAAAATAAAAATAAAATAAAATAAAATTAAATAAAATAATAAAATAAAATAAAATAAATAAAAATAATAAAATAAAATAAAATAAATAAAAATAATAAAATAAAATAAATACAAATAAAATAAAGTAAAAATAAAGAAATCAAATAAAATAAAATACATAAAATAAATAAATGTAAAGGCATTTAACTGAACAATGAACCACTCGCAAGTCGGGCAGCTCCAAGAGTCACGGCAGATTCAGACGAACTGCAGGGGTGCCTCGTGGTCAGAACAAATTTATGGACAAGGAAAGGAAAGTGACATACAGAAATCGGAAGTGAGGTACAGAAAGAGCTGGATTGGTTACCGCTCAGCGTTTGCCTTATTTGAACACAGTTTGAATGCTCAGCAGCCTGTGAGTGGATGAGTACAGTTGCTGGGCTGCTGGGATTGGCCAACACTCAGTGGCGGTTACAGGCACATGAAACGTAAGCTAGGCATTTTTTTTTTTTTTTTTTTTTTTTTTTGATATGGAGTTTCGCTCTTGTTGACCAGGCTAGAGTGTGCAATGGCGCAATCTCGGCTCACCGCAACCTCGGCCTCCCGGGTTCAAGCTATCCTCCTACAGGCATGAGCCACCACGCCCGGCTAATTTTGTATTTTTAGAAGAGACGGGGTTTCTCCATGTTGGTCAGGCTAGTCTCAAAGTCCCTTCCTCAGGTGATCCGCGCGCCTCGGCCTCCCAAAGTGCTGGGATTACAGGCGTGAGCCACTGCGCCCGGCCTAACTTAGGTTTTCCATCTTTTGTACCTATTAAGTTAGGTTGCAGTTCATCCACAAGGACTCAAACATAGAATTACGGAGTCCTTCTCAGGCCATATTTAATTTGCTTTAACACAAAAGTCTCAACAAACAAACAAACACAGGGGTCTCACTATATTGCCCAGGCTGGTCTCTTAACTCCTGGTCTCAAGCGATCTTCCTGCCGCGGCCTCCTACAGTGCTGGAATTGCAAGCCTAAGCCACCATGCCGGGCCTGGCCTACCCTTTTTTATTCCCCCCAAGACAGAGTCAGGCTGGAGTGCAGCGGCACAATCTCGGCTCACTGCAACCTCCGCCTCCCGGGTTCACCAATTCTCCCACCTCAGCCTCCCGAATACCTGGGACTACAGGTGCCCGTCACCACACCCTGCTAAATTTTGTATTTTTCCGTAGAGACGGGGTTTCGCCATGTTGGCCAGGCTGGTCTCAAACTCCTCACCTCGGGTGATCCACCCGCCTCGGCCTCCCAGAGTGCTGGGATTACAGGCATGAGCCACGGTGCCTGGCCTGGACCCCTCTTAACTGGTGCTCCGATACGAACTACCACGCCCAGCCTGGACCCCTCTTAATGGGTGCCCTGATGCAAACCACCGCACCCGGCCTGGACCACTCTTACTGGGTGTCCTGATGGGAACCACCATGCCCAGTCTGGACCCCTCTTAATGGGTGTCCTGATGGGAACCACCGTGCCCAGCCTGGACTCCTCTTAACGGGTGCCCTGATGGGAACCACCGCTCCCGGCCTGGACCCCTCTTAACGGGTGCTCTGATGCGAACCACCGCGCCCGGCCTGGACCCCTCTTAATGGGTGCGGCCTGACCCCCTCTTAATGGGTGCTCTTATGCGAACCACCGCGCCCAGCCTGGACCCCCCTTAACGGGTGCCGTGATGGGAACCACCGTGCCCAGCCTGGACTCCTCTTGCTGGGTGCCCTGATGGGAACCACCGCTTCCTGGCCTGACCCCTCTTAACGGGTGCTTCTGATGCACCCAATTTCCTACTGGCCTGACCCTCTTAATGGGTGCTGTGGATGGGAACCACCGTGGCTCGCCCAGACCCCTCCTAACGGGTGCTCCGATGCGAACCAGACCGCCCTGGCCTGACCCTCTTACCGGGTTTGACGCGAACTAATTTGTGATTTTCTGCCTGGAATGGCCTGGACCCCTCTTAATGGGTGCTCTGACGCGAACCACCGTGCCCGGCCTGGACCCCTCTTAACGAGTGCTCTGACGCGAACCACCGCGCCTGGCCTGGACCCCTCTTAATGGGTGCTCTAAAGCCGCAGTTTCCCAAGGTCTAGCGGGCCAGATGG